GTCTCATTGTTTGCATCTCAAGAGCTTGATTACTTGTTTTTCTTGTGTTCTAAATGTTGCTCTGCACGAACCAAATATAGGCCTAGCCGCCCTAGCATGCCGGCAGGGCCTAGAAAATATAATTTTTTAATAATAAAAATCCAGACATCTTTTAAACTTGTACAGTTTGAGTTAAAATGTGCTCTTTACATTAAAATCTGTGATGGAGAAAATTAAATATAGTCGCACAAAAAGCATCAGTGGTAAAAATAGACGCCACCAAAGGCCTAGGCTAGTGTTTTCAGATTATTCACTCATTTAGTACCAGACACAGTAATTATGACCCAGACCACTCAACAATCCACTTCTACAGAACAAGAACTCCACAGGGAATCCATATTTTCTTACCTTCAAAGTTGAGTCTTTGCTCCCACTCAAAAGCAGCCTACTGTCAGCCTGACCAGCTGTAAAATAAAATGATCATTGTAGTGGCCACAGCTGCATCACCTATGTGAGTCAAACATTACTACAGAAATTCTCATAAACTCACCTGATCTGATAGACAGCCCCAACATGACCACGAAAAGCAGCAATGAACTTTCCATTGCTACCATTCCATAGCTTCACTGACTTGTCATATGAGGACAACTAGCTATCCATTGTCCATCAGGAGAGAAATAAACATGATTGACAAGCTGTAGCATGATGTTTATTAAATAATGTTGAATAGGTCTAGAATGAAGAATGAATAGAACTTTATTAGCATTTTTTATCATCATTTTTATTTGCATAGAGTTTCAGCAATAATTGCTGTAGCAGGATATAAACTTAGGTTCGATATTATTTGAAGAAGGAAAAAAAAAGCAAAGAGACTAAGATAATCAGTAAAATTTACCATACCTGCTGATGACCTGTCATGCGTGCTTTGGGATGTTTGCTGACAGCTGGTTCCCACAGGATCATTGTGAAATCATCTGATCCAGAAACCAATCTCTCAGGAGCAGTACCCTCATTTTATTGTACCTTTCTAACGCTACCTGAACAGTACGAATATAAATATATGGAAAAAAACAGTGAAAAAGAATCAAATGTGGCATCAAAAGTTACCTTCTTCATTTCCTCCGGAGACGAAAAGTGTTTATTAGTGTGATCAAAAGCACCAGTCCGAAGTACATACTCAGTGCTTAATGCCAATGAGTTAACCCAATGTCCATGGCCCTGCATTTGCAGTGAAAATAGAATTAAAAAAGGGGTCAACAGTTGATAATAAGGCGGATAAAGGTGCATCTGAGATTTAATTCTAAACAACTGTGTGAAGGAATTTTGAAAAGCAAAGATAATAAATTTCTATGACAACCCCAGTTTCCAGTCTCTTTAACTAATGAACTATGACATTTTTTAGTTCTCTTCTCCCATTTTGGGAAATAATACAAAGGCAATAGGCATACACAGTACAGTAATCTACATCCTAGATACAAAATCCTCACTTTGGAAAACATTACAGAATCAGTTAGATTCATAGTGACCGACATATGGGCACAGTTTGACAAATACAGGGAATGGACAATCTCCAAGATAGAATCTCTGCAGATTCGCAAATTAAATGTCCAGAACCAAACTGATAGGAACCCACTTATTAGACTAATAATAGAAGTAATAATAATAATATTAGTAATAAGGGTCTGTGAGTTTGCTAGTATAAATAGACGGGAAGGGGGAGTAATAAGGAGGATGTTTTAGACTTGGACTTTGGGGACTTGGGAAGATCGAGAACTATCTCTTTCTTTTGGGGGGCTTCGGCTCAGTGGGGGGCTTTTGGACTGTTTAGTCTTGGGGACTGGGAAGATCGAGTGTTTGCTCTTTCTTTGGGGGGCTTCGGCTCAGTTGGGGGCTTCAGCCTTTGTTCTTGTTTCTGTTATTGTTCATCCTCTTCAATAAAGAATTCCATTGTTTCTTGATATTCTTTTCTGTAATCTCTGAATAATTGGAGGTCTCTAACATTGGTAACAGAGACTTCGATCGCTGGTTGAGATACTTGCGCACAAAATGGAAGGGAGAATTAACGACCTGGAAAGAAAACAAAAAGAAACATCGGCAAAAATGGCGTCGATGGCAACGACCTTGGCAGTCATAAAGACGGACATCGCAAGGCTGGAAAATACAGTCCAGAATCGATCGCGAAGCAGATCGCAGTCAAACGCATCGCATCATCGTGATTCTCATCATCACGACTCTCATCATCGCGACTCTCATCATCGCGACTCTCATCATCGCGATTCTCATCATTGCGACTCTCATCATCGCGACTCTCATCATCGCGACTCTCATCATCGACATACGCGACTTTCGATCGACACAGATTAATCGGAAGAACAAAGTCTTCACAGAAGAACTGGAGAAGGATCGAGGAACATCAGACATGCTCCGCTATCACCGAAGGAGTCGCAGACGAAGCCGCGAACTACCGATCACTGTTCACAGTCGCAAAATTCTTCGCATCGCTCTTGTAGCTTTTCGCAGAGTTCTGCTCATCACTCTTATCATCGCTCTTCGCATCAGAGTGCGCCTTATTCATCTAAAGTCAATTCTCCGAAGTCAGCTAGTTCACAGATAGAGGAATTACCTCTATTCTATGAGGATGAAGCGTACGAATGGATAGAGAAGATGGAAAAATATTTCAGAGTTCAAGCTATTGCAGAAAAATTCAAAGTGGACGTTGCAGAAGAGGCTATGGGGGAAGCCGCGTGTGGCTGGTTTAAATGGTGGTGGGAGTATCAAAAGAGGGAAGATAGCTGGAAGGCTCTAAAGGAAGATTTGATTAAGGATTTTCCACCTAAACACCGGCAGAAGACAGGAAGAACAGAAAGGCAAGAATCCCCAAGGTCACGAAGAACTTCTTCCAGTTCGCAATCAAGAACTTCTTCCAGTTCTCAATCAAGAAATTCTTCATTCAGTTCGCAGGAATCATCGTTAAACAGGCAGCAAAACAGGAGTCATCGAGGTCGCAAAGAACTTCTCGCTCACAAGTTTCTCAATCAGCGCTAGAAATTTACCAGCCCACAAAGAAGACCCAGATGGAACCAACTGAAATTGTAATCAAGCAAGTGAATAAGAAAGACGAAATCAAGGAGAAAAGGCAGGTTATTCAAGGGTCAGATTATGTTTCTTCTAATCTTGCAGAGGATGTGGATTTAATTCCCAGCCATGTTTCTATTGATGACAAGCTTATTCAACCATGTTCTGTTAAAAATAGAGCCCTAATTGCGCCTAAAACAGTTCTAGTCAAAAGTCAACTATCTTTACAGCCAAGAGAAAGGTCTTCAGAAAAATTATGCATTGGTAAAAATAGATCGGGTACAGAAGCTCAGGAGGAGGAGGTTAAGCTTGTTTCAGAAGGACCTGCTATCATTTTTGGAAACCGCAAACAGATTCATGATGCTGATAAGTCTAATCCTTTCCAACATCTTGGCAGAAATACATTGCAACCTGCAATCTTAAGTGTTAAAATCTTATCAGAAGCTCAAGGGATAGAATTACAGCTAATTGTTGAGAGCATGAGAAGCTGCCCCAAGCTTGGCCTACATAAACCATTGAAAGCATTAGAAGGATATCTAAATTTGGGAGACATCACTGCAAAGACTGTTCATAGCCTATCACTTCCTAATGTTTTGGACAACTTCACAAGAGTATTACAGAAGATGGCTCTTAAGAGTTATCAGCAAGCTCTAGGCGAAGTTGTTGCACCAAAGTTTGTAGAAATACTCTATGGTAATCAGGTCCATTTTCTGGCAAGATCTTCTGAAGGGTCAGAAAGTTATCTGGGACAGAACAGCCTTGGTTTGTGGACTTATGGTCCTTTGGAAATTGTTACTTCCTTTAAATCGGCATTGGATATTCCTGCAATTCAACTGATGGGTGCATTACTCAAGGAGAATAAGCATGTTCTTAAAGAAGACATCCGGCTATGCAGTGTAATGGGACAAATGCTATTACTCTTTAATGATGGGGAAATACCAGAGATTGTTGAAGTCTTAAATTCAAAAAGAGGAACACAGTATGATGCTAGTTCTCATGAACTTTCTAATGACACAAGTGTGGATGAAGTTTTATACGAGCTATGCAGTGAGATGTTTTACTCAAGAGATAGGAAGGAGTCTGAGGGACATGCAATGTTGAGCATGATCAAGAGTTTCTCATCCAGAGGTCTAGAAGTCTGGGAACTTCTTATACCACCATCAGCGAAATACTGGGAGGGGAGAGGCACCAGGAGGAAGTGGAGTTCCAGACTTGGTTCTTATCATCCCACCTTGAGGACAAGGTGGTTCTTTAGGGGGGGAGTATTGATAGGAACCCACTTATTAGACTAATAATAGAAGTAGTAATAATAATATTAGTAATAAGGGTCTGTGAGTTTGCTAGTATAAATAGACAGGAAGGGGGAGTAATAAGGAGGCTGTTTTAGACTTGGACTTTGGGGACTTGGGAAGATCGAGAACTATCTCTTTCTTTTGGGGGGCTTCGGCTCAGTGTGGGGCTTTTGGACTGTTTAGTCTTGGGGACTGGGAAGATCGAGTGTTTGCTCTTTCTTTGGGGGGCTTCGGCCTTTGTTCTTGTTTCTGTTATTGTTCATCTTCTTCAATAAAGAATTCCATTGTTTCTTGATATTCTTTTCTGTAATCTCTGAATAATTGGAGGTCTCTAACACAAACTAAGAACATAGAATCCACTACTGCTACCACTTCCACTTCTGTTGCCTTCGCCACTACTAGTACTACCACTAATCCTACCATCATCATCGCCACCACCTCTACCACTACAACAATAGTAGTAGTAGTAGACTAGTAGTAATCGTTTATTTTTATTTTAATTATTTGTAGGTTTTAGGAATAAAACTTTCTTGAATATTATTGAGCCATCCGGCAGTGGTATTTATACAGAGTACAGATAACAACTTTGTTATTCAGATCCTAAAAAATAGGATCTTTCTATCTACGTGCTTATCTATTAATTAATGAAGTCTATCAGCAGTCTATCATCTCTAATTCTTATCTAATACACTACACACGTACATTAAATAAAAATTACAAACACATGTCACATTTTCTACACTCCCCCTCAAGTTGGTAAGTATATATCATACATTCCCAACTTGCTTATAAGTAGTTCAAACACTGGTTTGAACAATCCCTTTGTGAAGATATCGTTTGTTCTTTTGTAGATATGAATGGAGCACACACAATCCCAGCCTCAATCTTTTCTTTAATAAAGTGTCTGTCAACTTCAATATGTTTGGTACGATCATGTAGCACAGGATTATGAGCAATATTAATGGCTGCCTTATTATCACAATATAACCTCATAGGTAGATCCATCTTCATTCTCAGTTCTGGCATTACCCTCTTGATCCATAGTAGTTCACAAATTCCATTAGCCATAGATCTAAATTCAGATTCTGCACTACTCCTAGCAACCACATTCTGCTTCTTACTTCTCCAAGTCACCAGATTTCCCCATACATAGGTACAATACCCAGAAATAGATCTTCTATCAGTAATTGAACCAGCATAGTCAACATCTGTAAAAGCCTCAACAGTCTACTGTTGTTCTTTCTAAAGTATAATCCTTTCCCAGGACAACTTTTCAAATACCTTAGAATTCTGTAATTTGCATCAAGATGTTCCTGGAATGTTGTGCATAAACTGGCTAACCATACTAACTGCAAAAGAAATGTTTGGCCTTGTATGTGCCAAATAAATCAATCTTCCCACCAATCTTTGATATTGTTGAACATTAACTGGAACTCCCTCTTTGACATCTCGCAGCTTTTGATTAGGATCAATTGGGGTATCTATTGGTCTGCATGCACTCATACATGTTTCTTGCAGAAGGTCTAGTACATACTTCCTCTGTGATACCACAATTCCTTTTTTTGATCTAGCTATCTCCATGCCAAGAAAGTACCTCAGTTCTCCCAGATCTTTGATTTCAAATTCCTGGGCTAGTTTCTCCTTCAGACTTACAGTTTCTATATAGTAATCACCTGTAAGAATGATATCATCAACATACACAATTAATACTGCAATCTCCCCCTCACTTGAAATTTTCAGCTTGAGCTTGCTGAAATCCCTGTCTCTTTATGAACTGGGTGAACCTCTCAAACCAAGCTCTTGGGGACTGTTTAAGCCCATACAAGGCTTTCTCCGATCTGCACACCTTTGAGCCATATTTGCCCTCAAAACCAGGAGGAGGACTCATGTATACTTCCTCTTCAAGTTTACCATTTAAGAAGGCATTCTTCACATCTAACTGCTGAAGTGGCCAGTCTAGATTAGCAGCTAAAGATAAGAGAATTCTTATAGTATTTAGTTTTGCAACTGGGGCAAAGGTTTCAGTATAGTCTATGCCATAGGTTTGTGTATATCCTTTGGGAACTAACCTGGCCTTATACCTTTCAAGTGTTCCATCTGCCTTGAATTTAGGAGTAAAAACCCATTTACAACCTACAGTAGGTTTGTTCTTGGGTAACTCTACAATCTGCCATGTCTGATTCCTTTCAAGAGCATTCATCTCTTCCAAAACTGCTTTCTTCCACTCAGGTTTAGATAGAGCTTCCTGTATGGTTAAAGGAATTGCAATAGAAGAAAGACTAGTGGTAAAGGCTGCATATGATAAGGATAACTGGGAATAAGACACATAGTTTGAGATAGGATATCTGACACATGACCTTTTCTCTTTTCTGAGAGCAATTGGTAAATTTAGATCACTGAAATTATTACCTCTTTTTTCATTTGCTGGCATTGAGTCAGAGTCATGAACAGTTGCAGGATCAGAGATGTCCTCTATTCTTTGATTTGGAACTCTCCTTTCATAAACCTTGCCAAAAATCTGCTTGTCTGTTGTTCATCCTCTTTCCTTGTTTCAGTTATATTTATTTCATTTTCTTCTAGTTCTTGACTATTTTATGATGTATCTAAGTTTCTATCATGATATGCATCTAGATTAATGTCAAGGAACTCAAGATTTTCATGAATATGTTGTACACTGTTATCATCTTCACTAGAATTCTCCCCCTGAAGATGAGTGCTAAAAAAAGGTTGATTTTCAACAAAACTAGTGTTCATAGTAACAAACATCTTTTTTGTTGTAGGATCAAAACATTTGTATCCTTTCTTAGTTGAAGAGAGTCCTAGAAAAACACATTTTTGACCCCTAGGGTCAAATTTGCTTGCTGTTCTGTCAGGATTGTTAACAAACATTGTGCAGTCAAATATTTTTAAGGGAAGAGAGCTGATAAGTCTAGATGTAGGAAAACATTTTTGAAGTGTTTCAATAGGGGTTTAAAACCCTAAAGTTTTTTTATGGCATCCTATTAATTAAATAGGTAACATGTAAAACAACATCTCCCCATAAATATTTTGGAACTCTAGTTGAAAACATAATTGCACGAGTGACCTCAAGTAAATGCCTATTTTTCCTCTCAACTATGCCATTCTGGGCAGGTGTATTAGTGCAAGAACTTTGGTGTACAATCCCTTTTTCAGCAAAAAAAATGTTTAAGCTTTGAGAAAAATACTCACGACCATTGTCACTTCTTACCATTTTAATATTGGTATTGAATTGAGTCTGAACCATTGAGTAAAATTTTTTAAACACATCTTCAACTTCATATTTTTCTTTAAACAAGAAAACCCATGTTACCCGTGTGTGATCCTCTATAATGGTTACAAACCATCTCTTTCCTTTCAAAGTAGAAACTCTAGATGCACCCTAAATATCACTATGCACAAGAGTAAAAGGACTAGTTGGTTTGTAACAATGGGGAATATAAGAATTCTTATGATGTTTGGCAAGTACACACATATCACAATGAAATGATGAAGGATCTTTATTATGAAATAACTGAGGAAACAATCTTTTTAAATAATAAAAACTAGGATGACCTAAACTGCAGTGCATCAAATACACTTCATTATTACAAGGAAAAGAAATAGTTTGCAGACAAGCCTTTCCTTGGCCTTGTTTATTTAATTCAGTCCCTTCATCAAAAACATAGAGTCCATCTTCCTCTCTAGGACTGCCAATCATCCACCCCGATGCTAGATCCTGAAAAGTGCAATAAGAGGGATAAAATCTGACACAACACTGAAGGTCTTGGAGTGTTATTCATAATCCTTTTCCTGCTCTCTTCAATTCTGATTTCAGAGAACACCTCTCTGATTGAAGGCAAAGGCTTCTTTCCCAGAATCCTTCCCTTCACTTCATCAAAACTTTGATTAACTCCTGCCAGGAACATATAAACCCTGTCATTTTCTTCTCTCTTTTTGTGTTTGGCCAGATCTTTTGCACTTTCCCATTCATCATCATTGTATTGGTCCAACTCCTGCCATAGAGACACCATTTCATTGAAGTAGGTAGTGACATCTCTATCACCTTGTTTGGACTGCCAAAGAATGGTTTTTAACTCAAAAAATTGAGAAGAATTTTCAAGGTCTGAGTAAGTTTCCTTTAGGGAATCCCAGACCTCTTTTGCTGTCTTCATAAACATATGAGGTTTGGCAATTGAGGCCTCCATGGAGCTGAGAAGCCAGGCTGTTATAAGTGAGTTCTCTGACCTCCATGTGTTATAGCCTTCCTCACCAGAAAGTTTTGGTTTGACTTCTCCCGTTAGGTACCCCAGCTTTCCCCTCCCATCAATTGCAAGCTTGACAGATTGAGACCACTCCAAATAGTTTTTTACATTCAATCTATGGCTGGTGATTATCATAGATGAATGAATAGGAGATTGGTAATTTGTCATAGAGCTAATTTGGGAGTTAGGGTTTGTAATATGGGATGAACCAGAATCTGTGGTTTCTACCATCGTGATGTGTAAACCGAGGCTCTGATGCCATGTAGGTTTTAGGAATAAAACTTCCTTGAATATTATTGAGCCATCCGGCAGTGGTATTTATACAGAGTACAGATAACAACTTTGCTATTCAGATCCTAAAAAATAGGATCTTTCTATCTACATGCTTATCTATTAATTAATGAAGTCTATCAACAGTCTATCATCTCTAATTCTTATCTAATACGCTACACGTACATTAAATAAAAATTACAAACACATGTCACATTTTCTACATTATTATTGTTGTTGTTATTATTATAAGAGAAGCAACTTTCAAAAGCGAAAAAATGCTCTGATGATTCAAAAGCATTTTTTTCTTTCTAAAGCAGGACTCAAGTGGACACTAAATTTCTTTACACAAAACTGTTAGAGCAATGAATCAAACCATGCTTTAGTTTGTATGTGTGTCAGTCCTAGATCGGTACAATACAGTAGGGTTTTTGGGTAACATATAGAGTATTATAATATCTGTCCCAGTTAATTTTTCAAAACGGTCTGGTTTGGATAAAGTCGTGTTGTCAACAATTTTATTTGGGTCCGCATATTTTAGGTTAGTTAGTTTGGATCTGTTCTCTAAGTTCCATGCTAATGTGATGCTATTAAAAGCAACATCAGGTACATGTACATGCTAACCAGAAAAAAAATACCTTCAATTCACGGATTAGCTTTCCTTGTGAAGTTTCCCATACCTTGATTGTACAATCTTGGGATCTATAAATGCGAATAATATAGTATTTGTAACAACAAAGATAGCAATAATATATTTATCAAAAAACTTAAATAGTACTGGAGATGGCAAGTATTGGTATTTCTGTTTCCTTGTGTCGTCATTATACAAAAACTACAAGAATCCTTGTTATGGACACCCCATAGTAAGCTGGCTTTATGTTTATTAAAGCCTGGAGCAGGTTTTGCCTTTAAGATAGAGGATGGTTGTATAATGGTGCAAGCATATAGTCATATACCATTTGACAATGACAACACAAACCAAAAACAGGGAATATACTAGAAGAGAAATCAAGTAGAGTATGTACCCTGTGTATATTACTCCATCACCACCCCATTTCACACAAGTGATAGCAAGTGTGTGACCACTAAGACAAATAACGCACTTCCTTAATGTAGCATCCCATATCCGTGCATCACCATCTTTACTGGCACTTACAAAACGACGACATGGAGCACTAAGGTGTACAGGTTCCCAGGAAATACCAGTTATCCATTTCTTGTGGCCCTGAAATGTTACAAGTATTAATCTCTAAAGGTGAAGATGGATTGACTCCTTTCATTTGGGCCAGTGAAGCAAAATGAGGAAAAGCAAAATAAAAATTAGGAGACATACACACACATACTTATAAACTCCCAGACAGATGCTAGTCAAATATGATTGTAAGCACTCTCATAACTTCGGGAATGTTGGATGAAGTGTAAAGAAGTTATAAACAAAATAGTCCATCATAAAGCCCACAGAGATCTCTTCGAAACTGCTTATAGGGGCCCGACACTCCTATTATTAAGTAGCTTAGTATTGTACAATAAGAGGGTTTTAGGCCCAGTAATTTAGTGGATGAGGGTCGGGCCATTAGGAGAGTATTAAAATAAGCTCAGGTAAAGAGAAAAGGGGTAGGGAGAAAATTGGGATCGGGAATTAGGAATTGGGAATTGGGAGTGCGAGACTACTCGAAGCGTCTCAATACTGTCCGTTTTTCTCTTTCTTTCTGTCTACGCCATTGTATTCCCGTTGGGTTCTGAAATCTTCATCGATGATATCCAAATTCTCTAATGTGTTGTTGAGTTCTCTATCATTGGTATCAGAGCACCATTTCCTGGGTACAGTGGATGCCAGTTACACGAACGCAGATGGAAAACCGAGTGGACAAGGTGGAAAGGAACCTGGAAGATATGCGAGCTGATATGGATGGAATACGAACGGATGTAAATGGAATACGATCGAAGATGGAGGATATGCATCAGCTCTTACTCAACCTCAGTCACAGGCGATCCAGGGGGTGATCGCGACACTCGCATAAGCAATCGCCGTCAAACTGCAGAAGTTGGTGTCATTTCAGTGGTACGTCTCATGACTTTGTAGCTTCGCCGAACTCCGGAGGTAAATCTGATGCCTCGCAATCCATTTCTTCTCGGCGTGAAACCAATGTGAACAGAATGTTCATTAGAACTGGAAGGAAGATTGATCTTCCGTTATTTAACGGCGAGGATGCTTATGGGTGGACCATCAGGGTAGAAAGGTTTTTCAAATTGAATAACATACCAGAAGAAGATAAGGTTGAGTTGGTAACCATTGCCATGGAGGACAAATCGTTAAACTGGTACCAATGGTGGGAGGAACAAATGGTTCAAAGCAGCCTTAATCAGAAGGTTTCAATCGGAATTAGTTCAAAATCCGTTTGAACCTATGCTCAGCGTCAAGCAAACAGGAAGCGTAATGGATTATCAGGAGAGATTTGAACTGGTAGTCGCACCGCTGAGGCACACTGATACTGAGATGTTGCAGGGAATTTTTCTGGATGGCTTGAAGGATGAGGTGAGAGCTGAACTGAAACTTTATCCATCCGCTTTTCTTTCTAAATTAATGGATTGAGCTCTGTTGTTAGAAGAGATAAACACTGCTATGAGATCAGGGATACATAAGGAAGAAGACAAAAAGTGCTGGAAAGAACGAGGGACTATGGTAAGGCATTTGAACTGGGTGGAAACAGCAAAGGGAAGAACACCTCCTAGACATTCAGAAAACAAGCAGACTCCTGAGAGAACACATTCAGAGAACAGGCTGGAGAAATCACCAAACCCGAATAAGACATGGGAGGGAGGCCAAAGGTTGACACAAGCACAGTTAGAAGAAAGAAGTAAAAAGGGACTATGCTTCAAATGTGGAACAAATGGAGCAAAGAGCATGTTTGTGGAATGAAACATTATCAATTTGTCTTGATGGAAGCGCTAGAAGAAGAAAAGGGAACAAGTGGTCAGCAGTTTGAACTGGATGTAGCAAACAACCCGCTGAAACCAAATGCTAAATCAGTTTCTTACAACTCACCTTGAGGACAAGGTGGTAGTTAAAGAGGGGAGTGATAATAGGGACCCGGCACTTCTATTATTAAGTAGCTTAATATTGTACAATAAGAGGGTTTTAGGCCCAGTAATTTAGTGGATGAGGGTCGGCCCACTGGGAGGGTATTATAATAAGCGCAGCTAAAGGGAAAGGGGTAGACAGAAAATTGGGATCAGGGATTGGGAATTGGGAGTGCGAGAATACTCAAAGTGTCTCAATAATGTCTGCTCTTCTCTTTCTTTCTGTCTATGCCATTCTATTCCCGTGAGGTTCTGAAATCTTCATCGATAATATACAAATTCTCTACTGTGCTGTTGAGTTCTCTATCATCTGTTAAGTACTTCAGTATGTTGCTGTGCTGGTCAAATTGGTGTTTAGGACGTGGCAATTTCTAGATGTGTTAATAAGTAAAGCCATAACTCCCATAAAAAGATCATAGATATTGCCGTAAGTCCGTAGCATTTCTAGATGGATTGAGCACATGATTTATAGAACTCTTAGTATAATTGTTTTTCAATTTTTCATTTAACCAACTAATAAACTTAAAACTTTTATATTTTAGGAATTTTTGAAAGAAAGGTTAGGAAATACTTGCTTTTATCAGTTTTATGTTATTTTTGAGCTTACTACTTTGAAATATTTATGACCTAACTATTGTTTATTTTAATATGAAGTTTGTTGACTTTTAATGAATGGATTATTTTATTTTTTTATTGTATTATTTGACTTATGTATATGCAGTCTTAAGACACCACCTTAACTATGCAATACGCAAATTCGAACATTGAATCAAATAATGATATGCCAAAAAATAAAAGTCATGTGCAAAAAACGGAGTCAGTGATGATGACGACCGTCAAACCGGGCATTCAAATTGAGACTTACAGCAAGAGGATTGCCCAATTGCTTCCCAGTCTGTGTATCCCAGCATATCAGCTCTCCAGCTTTACTTCCACTCACAAGGTGTTTACCATCAGGCGACCACGCAATGCTAAGAACCCAGTTTTTATGACCTAGTTGCAGAGAAATTATATAACCACTTCAGTTATTTTATATAACATACCTCCAATTGTAGATATCTACTGTGTGGTCAACCATCATAATTAGATGATGAAACCCAAGCAACTCCCACTACACCTTCGGGTTGAGACATGCTTGTATAAATGGTGAGGGCAAGCTTTTGAATCTAACCTTTGCATGTGAACAATGGTGTCTGCGTATTCAAATCCCACAAACGAACTGTGGTATCACCTGAGCCACTTGCTAGCTGCTGTCCATCAGGGCTGAAGGCCACTGAAAGTACAGCTTCATTATGACCTGTAATTGACCATGGTAATGCAATGCATTAGCTCATTTGAATGCAAAGATGAAGAAACCATCTATTAACTTTAAGTTATGCAAAACTGCATAAATAATTGGCATAAGTACAGGAAAAAATATCTAATAGCTATGACCACCAAGTTAATGTCAGAGGGAGTCATAAAGTTGAGTCAAATGCAAGTAATGATTTCACTATTAATACTGATCGAAGTAAAGAAAATTCAATACCAGCAATTGTTGATGAACATCGGGTTACAGGACGTATTCGGAAAACAGCTTGAGGTTGATATACTATAGTCAACACTTTCTCTACAGAAACTGCAAATATGTTCATAAATAGAAAGGTTCAGTTTAGAATGAAATGCTACTAATTAGTACTCTCTCCGCCCCACTGTCTTTGTCTCATAATTCCTTTTTAGCCCATCCCATTAAGGTTGTCCCATTCCATATACGGTAATGTTTGTGTGGTTCTAATTTATTCTAACTTTATCACACTTCACCAATTCAATACCAACCATAACTCCACTTTTCTTATGAACTACTACACCACAGTTCACCACTTTTTCATGTCCCAATCTTAGAGGGGCGGAGGTGTATATATTACTTCAAACAAGGACTGAGTTTCATTAGTGCAGTCAAGGATCCCATTACCTTTGTTCTTTTCTAAATATGACCCAAGATGCACCACCAGCTCTTGGTCTGATATATAAAATGCATACGGCAGCTTTTCGTCCTACATATAAGAAAGGACAGTGAGTGCAACTAACTCATTAATGTGATAGCAAAGTCATTCACAACTTCAATAAACAGTCCATAAAAGCTTCAAAAGTCACATGAGGCACAAAATGCAGGTGTTCAAATGGTTAAGGCCGTTGGTTTTGAATGTTAGCAAGCAAAAATGTATTTCTCTAACATATACTACGTAGTAGACAATGACATAAAAAAACAGTGAGAAAAATTATTATTATTATTATTAAGTTCCGGTTTTAAATAGCTATTTCTACATTGTTACATTGTTTGTTGATTTATTATATAATTTGGATAATTATATATAAAAGGAGAATTCGAAAATTTCAATATATATATATAGCTGTAAATGGAAATATATGTTTGTATAAATATAAATTCGAAATATATGTACATCTATATATAATACTACGTATAAAATAATAAAGTAACTATACCTGCAAGTAAAGTTTATTCAGGTAGCTCAAATTAGTGATAAACACAAAAACACCAACAAGTTGATAATTTGGAGTATTCTCCCTACTGAGCCAGTTCAAAGACCAAAAGATAGCAAATTTGAGAGTTTTTGTATAAATTAAAAAAAAAAACAGCCTGGGAAATTTGGATACCAAACTAGTCATTATGACCTACGTTGTTAAGTAGCTTGTTGACCATTTGATTGAGCTCTTTGGGACCAGCAGACTCAGGAAGGTACATCTGAGTTCCGAGCGTTGTGCCATCCGGGTCAGTTAATCGACACATGACACTGTTCGTGGACTCTCTGGCCATCGTGAAATCTCTTGCCGGCGGAAAGGAGGCCTCCACGTCCATTGTTTCCAACATTCTACTAGCTAACTCCGTCTTCAGCCCCCGCCCCGGATGCCAGCCTAGTGTTGAACAAGCACCCTCGAGATTTGCCCTATTTTTTTTTTATTTGCCCTATGATGCTCGGCGCGCCTCCAACTTTACTGCACGCACCAACTTTTTGTGAAATCTGGACAGATATGTCCTTAGTCAATTGCTCTCACGCCTTTTCTAATTTGCTGGACGCACCCACCTACGTGATTACAATTTACAAAGCATCTCTTGATTTTTAATTTTAATAAATGGGCCTCATTGCTTTTTTAAAATAAAAATAAGTTATAATGTTTCCTAAAAGTGTGGGTAACATGTTTCTAAAACATAACGTGTCTATCTTTTAAATACACTTAGGTCTTTCAACGGATCGGATACGGGTCAGAACTATAAATTCTATATCTATATCAGTTGAAATTTTTTTGGGTCCAGATCCGGACCCATTTACCATTCGGATCCTATACATATGGTCCAGAGTTGGATCCGGCGGGTTTCGGATCCAGGCCGGGTATACCCGCAAAAATAAACTAGATGACATATTCAAACAAATATAATATATAACAAAAAATTGTTCATGTTGGAAGAGATCATATATATATAAATAAGCAAAATGGTGTTCTATTCATTACTTCATATGAACTATACAATAATATACAGAGTATGTTGTGTGTATATTAGTGAACTCATAGAGAACCCAGAGCAGTAACTAATTAGCGAAAATCCTATTATAGTGGGCCAGCCGCTAACTAAGCCTACAATAATATTAAAACATTTTTTATATTTGATTATTTTCCTTATTTTATATTTAAATATTCCTATGTATTTTGTGTGTGTATGTAAAAGACTATAACTATAATTATATCATCACGGGTCGGGTCCAAAACGAGGCCAGAACTTAAAAATCCATATCTGACCCATATTTTCTATCATGTAACGGGTTCGGGTCTAGATCCGGGAAACGGTTTTAAATTTAGACTCATACCCTCAAATAAAGTGCCAGATTCGGATCGACCGACACCATGTTGATTCTGCATTACGACCATATATTTACATGACTGGATTTAGGATGTGAATGATATTTAGAATGTTTTTAATTATAATTATTATTTTAATCACGATTATAATCAAAATCAAAATTATAATAATTATAATAAAGAAATAGTACGTAAAAATTATAGAAATAATAATATAGATATAATCATAATCATCATTATCATTATATCTATGATTGCAATTATAATTATAGTTACAAATGCAATCATTTTTATAATTATAGTTATGGTTATGGTTACAATTATATTTATAATACATGGGGTACATAAGAACTAGTAATAATATTAACAATAATAGTAATAATAATAATAATAATAATAATAATAATAATAATGACAATAACAACAACAATAACAACAAAACAACAACAATAATAATAACTAGATCGGATCAGAAAGATTCAGATTAGATTGGAAGGCTTCAGATCCGATCAGACCAGATCAGCAAGATTCAGAACATATAACCATAACGAGGCCGGGTTAAATATTGTGTGCAAGTTGTCATCCATGCCACATGAATACAATGTATGTGCAAACTTCTTTAGGATGGCAAAGGAAAGATTGCAAGATGCACTTGTTCATGATCTCCAGTTAAAGTTGATTTCTGACAAAGTGATGGTCAAATATACAATCTACTTACGATTCGATTTTAGATGTTGTTGCTCTTATTGTTGGAGATGTTGACACTTCATCAAAAAGAGATATAGTAATGGAGATCTGAAGTCATCATACACTTCACCTAAACAGTGAGCTGCATACTATCTTTTTGAGTTATCAGAGTCCTCTTTTATTTCCTTTGGTATGATGGATATATGCATGATGTGCCACATAGAGATACATGTAATTACAATTGTTCCAAAAGGAACTGTCTTACCATAAGACACCGAATTATTTTAGCCCTCTACGACTTGGTCTGCCCCCTAGCCCCCCCCGCGACTAGCTTGCAGCAGCCTAACCAACCAAAACCCTGCCTCACCAGCCCCTCTACGACTTGCCCGAGCCCCAACAGCCCCAAACAACCATCATATCTGAGATCGATGAAGCAAGTGAGCAATGACGCCGACAATTCGCAACAAAAGAAGAAGGTAGTCCGCAGTGAAGAAGAAGGGGAAGGTAATATGCACAGTTAGGGGCGGATTTAATAAGGAAGTAAGGAAGCAGCTTCCCCCAATAAAAGTATACTAAATCCTTATATTTTGTTAGAAAATTTTAGAAGGCCTAATATATGCCCCCAATTAAAAAAATATGATTGCCCCATATAACCCATTTGTTCCAGCTGGAAGTTGGACAAATCGGGGAAAAGTAAGTGCCACAACCCGACATATAGCTATTGAAGGACCAAGTTACTAGTTGACCAATCAAAGAGAGATGCTAAATTTTTACAACCACTAGCTACCACCGATCTAAGATCAAATCTCACAATTGAAGAAATCCTCCAAGACCCCAATTCTTGAAACTAGAATTACCAATCGAGTATATTTTGTCACTCTAGGTTTAAATAAATGTTTGATCAATTTGATATTGGTCTTCTTGGATATTTTGATTTTTAGGTACATCATACTCGTGCACGTCGTCCCCCGTATATATGTTTTGTTTATTGCTGTATATTAATAAATTTCATAAACTAAAAAAATGTTATTATAATGTTATTAAATTATTAAATTATTGTTGTGGGGATTTGATGCAATTGTTGAAATATATTGAATAGTCATCTTCCAACTATTCATGATCAGGAACACATTATCATCATTGTTAATATAAATAAGAAACCATAATTATGATTTCTAGATGGTAATTGTATGGCTCACAATTAGCCCCTGATCTACACCATGATTACATTCTCCCCTATAAATAGGAGTATTCTCCTTCATTGTAAAGACACCATTATCACTCTCAATAACATAATCTATCACTACGTGTTCATATTATACTTTCTCTCCCTAATCTTCTGCTTATTTCCTTCCATATTATAACACGTTATCAGCACGAATTTGCTCCAAATCCCTGAAATCATCATCTTCCCAGCAGGTATATTATTTCATGAATTTATCAACTTATCTGGAAAAGACAAAATCAGAGGTTGAGAAGTATAAACATATTTATGTATATATTCAAAACTATAAAAAGTATGCTCTATGGTTGCCCAACATTTGGGATCCTCCATATCAGAAAATTATTGCTATATTTTATGTGAAAGAAAATGAAGAAGCTGAAATATTAACTTATTTTGAATCAATATGTTCTTCAAAATTCTATTTTACATATTATATATATATATATATATATATATATATATATATATATATATCAGAACCATCTATAATGAAAATGGAAGATAAAAGAAGGTCTTACAATTTACGACAGGAGTAATAATAAAAGTCTTTTCTTTTCCTTTGGGAAGTGAATAGTTTGACATTGATATGTTATGTATACATTTATTTACGGTGTCCAAGTGTCTTTTAATTTGATGTTCATATATTAATTGCTATACAAAATTCCTACAGTGCTTACACATGACATTTCCTTTGTTCTTCCGTAGATGTAGCCACATGTCAAATTCCCAATAAAGAGTTTTGCCACATGTTAACTATTCTTCATAGGGTTGAGATAAGGGTTTGCTTTATTATATTATATAGATATGTAGCATAAACTAATATATATATAGGGAACTCTTCCGGTAAGGTATACCTTACCGGAGCCGCCGTGCGACCTCAACGTTTTGAGGGCCTTCCCGGTGGAATTTTTTGATAAAATTTTTTGAGCATGTTCTTCATCAAGTCTAGTACATCCATACCAAATTTCAGCAAACAATTCAATCTAGAAGGCAGTCAAACAATTTTTGGAAGATAACTGTGTTTTATATGTATATAAAGGGTGCAATTATCTTCCAAAAATCATTTGAATGCCTTCCCGATTGAATTTTTTGCTGAAATTTGTTATGGTTGTACTAGACTTGATGAAGAACATGTTCAAAAAATTTAATCGAAAAATTCCACCGGGAAGGCCCTCAAAACGTGGAGGCCGCACGGTGGCTCCGGTAAGGTATACCTTACCGGAAGAGTTCCCTATATATATATATATATATATATTAGTTTATGCTACATATCTATATAATATAATAAAGCAAACCCTTATCTCAACCCTATAAAGAATAGTTAACATGTGGCAAAACTCTTTATTGGGAATTAGACATGTGGCTACATCTACGGAAGAATAACGGAAATGTCATGTGTAAGCACTGTAGGAATTTTGTATAGCAATTAATATATGAACATCAAATTAAAAGACACTTGGACACCGTAAATAAATGTATACATAACATATCAATGTCAAACTATTCACTTTCCAAAGGAAAAGAAAAGACTTTTATTATAACTCCTGACGTAAATTGTAAGACCTTCTTCTATCTTCCATTTTCATTATAGATGGTTCTGATACATAGATCAGAAAACATATTAAAAGGAATCTCGAAAGTACAAGAAACATGATGAAAGGAAAAAATAAAAGAAAAAAAATAAAGCTAAGATGTTAAGAATAGAAAAAAAGCAATATAAAACGAACAAACAAGTTGGGGTTATTTTCTCATTTCATTAGTGTTGTTATCCGTATTCTTATTATTTTTTGCTTATTAATTTTTTTTACGTAGTACGGAGTATTATTTTTGTGAATCCAGAGATCCAAATTTCAAGCTTCTGTGATAGCGGAAGCAAATTTAGAGGTTTTGATATGATACCAAATGGTGACAATATAGGACTTACACATTAATACAAGCTCAACTTCAAACGAAATAAGATAACTTATGCTAAATAACGCCGCCGCCTAATTGTTCCTAGAGTATTTTGCCTCCACTTCAATTAAAGCTAAAGGCTAAAGCACCTATGAACACCGTGAGTGAGATCTTTTCTAATTTTCAAGTCCGACTGAGCCCTGTTTTCCTACATGGTTCTTGGTTTTTTAATTAGTTTGAAGTCATATGAGGAGAAGAGTTGAAATTGCAGTTTTCATTTTTGCCTTCCCTGTCGGCCATGATAACTGATCAAGTTGAATTTCAAAAGAAAAATTCTCAAAATAGGAGTAAAAACGTTTGATAATTTACAATAGAACATTCATGTTTTTATTCCTTAAATGAGAGTAAT